CAATTGTCCTAGAATTTTCAGTGAAGACATGGCTACAAAATTTATTAAAGAGATTAAGCTTATGACTGATGGATATAACCAGCATAAATAGCATCGTTCGTGGGACACATAGAGAAGGCAGAAAGAAATCTCAGCAAAACGGGCCTTGAAAATCCCAGCCCACCCTATGGGTAAACTGAACTGAAAGGGACAAAGAAAATATTTAGGAAAGAATGCTACCCAACTCTTGGAATTCTACAAGACAAGAAACAAGTCAAAGGAGCTACATCTGCTGTTCTCCAAGAAAAGAAAAGAGCTATCCTTGGAGCAGTTCTGGAAAGAGCACTGAAAGCAGAAATGCACCAGTTTCAAACAGTGGAGTCTTGGCTTTCCAAGTCTAAAAGAATCAGATTTTCCAACTAGGTTCTGAAGTGTGGGATACTATTTAGTAGTGTCAGGATAATGTGTCCACTACCTAAAACTGAGGAAATGGGGCTGCCACACTCAAGAGACAGAAGAATAGAGCCTGTCAAGGTCAACGCTATGGTCTACTCAGATTAAATAGGACATGGGCCTGTCCAAACCCAAGAGAGCAGTGCTGCATTGTAGGGGAGATAGAGGGTGGAACGGAAGCCAGGTTCCAGAATAGAATTCACAGGGTATAGCCAACAGGCACAGTTTGGATGGCAGAGGTATTTCCCAGAAAAGAAAAATTTGAAAAAAGAGAAAGGATTATTTCCAAGTCTCCCGAAATATAAACTGTTCTGTTGAGTTTTGAACTCACTTGATATACTTTACTCCTTCTTTCTCTTCAAGTTATATCTTTCCTAATGGAAGTGAGTCACCTATAACTTGATGGCACTTAACAACAACAACAGCATTGAGAGAGATCAGTTGGCCTAGTGGACAGAAAGTGATGCTACCAAGCCAAAGGAGGGTGATTCTAATCTGTGGCCCTTGGGCCTGGTTTTAATTGTTTTTGGTCAAACATTCTTCTAGGTTGTATAACCCTGGTGTGTCCACTTGCTGTACAGAAGTAACCTGTGGTTGCTGTGAAGCTGAGCACTGTGACACTGATGTGTCAAATGTGAGAATGGTTACCCATGGTGGACAGTGTTTGGTGGAGCTTCCCAATTAAAACCTACTTGGAAGCAGGGGTGGCATCCACTTTCAAAATACCTTGCCCCTGGAAAACCTATGAACCTGGAGAAAGGATGAAAGTCACACAAGTGTTGAGGGCTTTCTTTCATTGGGTCACTATGAGTTGCCTACAACTCGACAGCACTTAACAACAACAACAATGGAAATGTCTTCTTTGTGTCTTTCTCATCATTATTCTTTGGAAACAGATAATCTGTAATCTAAATTTCGTAAATTCAAAGATGAAGAGGAATTTTGCATCAGGATGGAATACACCTAAAATTTCAACAATATCTCATATAGATGGTCCAGAAGATGAGATTTTGGACTTGAAGTTGATGTAAAGCTTTTAGGATAATGTGATGAGATGTAGGTGTGTTCTTTGTAGGAAATAAATGCATTTTGATAGCCAAGATGTGAAATGTTATGACTTGAATTGCGCCCCTCAAAGGTGTTTTGAAGTTTTTTATTCAATCATGTAGAGATTAATTTATTTAGCTATTAACAGAAACATCAGCATATCTAACACACCAGGGGCTCTAGGAGAAAAAGACAAAGCATTCTTCCTGGTACAAAATCAGGAATGGATTCTTTGTCAAGATTATTTAATCTGTGTGCTTTGCAAATAATCCAAGAACATGGACAGGAACACAGCATCAGGATTAGAAGAAGAATCATTGACAAATGCTGATACGCAGATATTATAAAAAAAAAACCCCAACACAACAAAAACCCCTTAATGGCTAAAAACTTACTAATGACGATCAAAAACACAAACCCTCACAATTGGACGAATATACAGCATCATGATAATGAAGATAAGATCAAAGGTGTAAAGAATTTAATTCCATTTGGATCCACAATCCAACACCTGTGGAAGCATCAGTCAAGAGATAAAGTGACAATGCAACAATGGAACAAAAGAAGCTACAGCAAAGGACCTCAAAAGATCTGAAAAGAAAGAATTGTTGAAATACTTTATAACATGGATGAATCCAGAGGATGTTATGCTGAGTTAAATAAGCTAGCTACAAAAGGAAAAATACTGTGCAAGTTACAAAAAGCTAAAGAAAGGTCTGCATACAGAATCCTTCTTGGATTGTCAACAGAAGAAGAAGAAGAAGAAGGAGAGAGAGAGAGAGAGAGAAAAAAAAAGAAGTAAAAGTAAGTAGATACTAGATGTTGTTATGTGTTATTGAGTCGCCTGTGATTTATGTACAACAGCCCTAAACTCTGCTCTATCATGTGCCAATCTCACCATCTCTAACACACCTACCCCAACTATCCCAGTTACTGAATCAAGCCACCTCATAGAGGGTCTTCCTTTCCTGCACTGTCCCTCCACCTTCCCAAGCATAACATCCTTCTCCAAAGGTTGCTCCCTCCTTGCAACATTTCCAAAGTATGTCAGATGAACCTTCAGAATCCTTGCCTCCAAGGAGCAGCCTGGTTTAACCCACTCTAGGATGAACCTTTTCATTTTCTTAGCAGGCTGTGATATAGCCAATACTTTTCTCCAATACCACAGCTCAAAGACATCAACTCTCCTTCTATCATCCCTAGTCATTGTCCAAATTACTGACACATAGCAAGTGATTGCAAAGACCATCATGGTACTAGGTGTAGCTAATGTTAGATGGATCTTGGCTGAAAGCAGGGAATACCAGAGGAATGTCTATCTGTGTTTCGTTGATTATGCAAAGGCGTTTGACTGTGTGGATCACAACGAACTGTGGCTGACTCTGTGAAGAATGGGAATCCCAGAGCACTTGACTGTGCTTATGCAAAACCTATATTTGGACCAGGAGGCAGTTGTCAGAACAGAATAAGGAAACACTGCTTGATTCAAAATTGGGCAGTGTATAAGACAGGGATGTGTCCTATCACCATACCTTTTCAATCTATATGCAGGACAGATTATCTGGGAGGCTGGGCTCTATGAGGAGAAATGTGGCATAAGGATTGGAGGAAGATTCATCAACAATCTGCATTATGCAGATGATATAATCCTGCATGCTGAAACTGAGGAGGACCTGAAATGCTTGCTGCAGAGGGTCAAGGACTTCAGCCCTCAATATGGATTGAGGCTCAATATATCAAGTAAACAAAGGTTCTCACCACTAGGCCAATTGGCAGTATCATGATGGATGGTCAAGAGATTGAGATTGATAACAGTTTTAGTTTACTTAGCTCCACAGTCAACACTTGGCATCAGGAGCAAGGAAATCAAAATATGTATTGTGTTGGGAAAGTCTGCTGTTAGAGATACTAGATACATACTAAAAAGTGAAAATAAATATATATATAACACAGTATCATCTAGGTAAGAAATGACAGAGAGGTATAAAAACGTGGAAGGACTAATGGAAATAAGAACTACAAGGAGGAAGTTGGAAAAGTGGGATGACATTTTATTGAAATTAATGCTATAGAACAATATGTGTAAATATAGTTGAATAAAAACTTTTATTTGCCTTGTAAACTTTTACCCCGCCCCTCCCAAAACAAAATAAAAGTGCAACAATCACACTTTAATGACCCAAGCCATGGATTTTTCTATTCCTTCACATGAGTGTGAAAGTTGGACAATGAACCAAGAAAAGCAGAGAAGAACTGATGCCTTTGAGGTGTAGTGTTGGCAAAAATATACTATGTACTTCCCAAAGAACAAACAAATGTGCCTTGGAAATAAATGCACCCAGCATTTTCTTGGAGACGAGGATAATGATTTCATCTCACATACTTTAGGATATCAAGTGTGGTAAAGTACAGGGTGCAGAAAAGAAGCTGACCCTCAGGAGATGCATGGCCACTGTGGCTGCAACAGTGAGCTCAGCTCCAGAAGGGTTTGGGAAGGTGCTACAGGATTGTGTGGTGGCTTCTTTTGTATGGAGGGAACTGACTCAACAGCATCTTGCAACAGCAAGAAGTTGTAGTCGACTCCATAGCAGTGAGAGTTTTTTTGTTTGTTTTGTTTTGTTTTACTAGTGGATAGAATCCAATTTGGGAACATGACTTTTTTTAGCTTGTTAGTGAGGCCATGACATTGTTGGGCACTATTTTAGCTGATTACATTTGAAATATAGGCAAGATGATTACACAGAGAACAGCAACAGCAGAAATGGAGGAAAAAAGCTGTCAAGCTAGATGAAGATCATCCAGGAGCTGAAACTCAAAAGAGACGAGGACCTTCCTCCAGAAGAGACATCTAGAGCAAGGGTCCTGAATTTAGAAGTCTAGTCTACTAAATTGTGAGAAAATAAACTTGCTTGTTAATAACACTTCTGGTGTTTCTATTATAAATGCACTAGATAATTGAGACAAATTGTAATGTCTTAACTGAGAAGAATTAATATATATAAAGGAACAATGTTATGTATGGGGGAAATGAGAAGAAGGATCATTGAACAGAAATAGTATTATTGGTAGGAGAGCCAGGAGAAAGAAATTCTGATTTTACCACCAACTTGTCCTTTGGTATTAGCACTTTATTTACTTACTGTTAATTCCCAGTTACAAATGATTTTTATATTTGATCTTATAGGAAAAATAAAATGTACCATTTTTGGGAAATGATTACAAATTTTAACTATGTTTAAATCTTGTCATCCGATGTTATAGAATTGTTTAAATTGTATGTATGTATGTTTGCAGTGAATTTGCTGTGTTTTATTACATGAACCATTGGAACATTACCAGTATATTTCTGCTATTTCAGTAGAAACAAATATTCGTGGAGCCCCCAGGCCTAGTTTAGACCAAAAGCTGATTAGGCAAGGTTTGTGAGAGCCATAAGTAGTAACAGACCCAATTAGCACATTTTCCACTTGCTAACTTGCTGCTGATGAGAGTAATAAAAAAAAAATAATAAAGACACTTACTTGGTTTTTTTCAAATGAAGTACCACAATTTTTCCATTAACTGTCATTTTATACTGCAATTCAGTTTCAAATTTGTCCTGCAACAATGCACAAACATTTAGTGGTAACTAAAAACACACATAAAAATAATCATTAGCAAGCAATGTCTGTTTCACTTTAGCAATAGTCTGTACAATACCAGATGCCTGCCTCTGTCTCTTTATGCAGATCAAATTCTTCCAACTAAATAGACAAAACTCTGGGATGTTTCCCTCCATCCAGTTAAACATTCTAAAAATATTGTTCATGTCTTGTTTATGTGCAAAACATTATGCTCAGTGTTAGAAACTCACAAGAAAAGAATGGATCATACTGTCAAGGAGCTAGTTATCTTGTGCAAAGGGTCAGTTCCAACTTTATGGTATGCAACAACAATAATAACAATAGGCGCCATGACGTAGAGTAAATCTGAGGCTTCTGGGAACCCTAGTAGACCTAGGCAATGGCCTGAAATTGTTGCCAATGTGAGAGAATTATTGTGCTGCCAAATGTTCTTTCTTGTAGCATAAGGCAATAAGTAGCAAACCAATTCTTACCTTTAAAGGAGTATACAATCTAAATGATAGAACAGTGACTATCTTTGAAACATAAACTTCTAAAATCAGAAATCTTGATTTAATACTGTTTAACAGAAATTCTTACAGGTACTATTTTGAAAATTCACCAGAGCCTTATTTATTTATTCATTCACTTGTCTATTTTGTTCATTTACTTATTTGCTCATATATTCCACAATCCCCCCCTACCTCCAAGTGGTAAGAAGCTGAGCTCTAATCCCAAAGGCATACAGTTCAAATCTATCAGTTACTCCGGGAGAAGGATGGGCAACAACCTCCCTGTGATTTACTGCCTCTAAAAATCTGCTGGAGGATCAGCTGAGTCTGAGGCAACTTGGTAGGACCTAACAAGAAGCCAAGCTGTCATAGGTAAATCAGACCTCTTATCCACTAGAGGGCACCATCTACAAAAATAACTAGAGTGCTGCTTGTAGAATTGTTTTGAAAAGTGATTCATCAAAGACCCAGGTAACATTTACAGAATGCTCATAAAGACTCTCAAACTCATTTGCTGTCAAGTCAGAAGTGACTCCTAGTTGACCTCGCAGTGAGTTGCATGGGAAGAGACAGCACATTTTCCATCCTGGGAGCCATTGGTGGATTATAATCTCCAGAGAGTTGCCACTTTTAGGTTAGCCCCTCAGTAATCTACAAATGAGATAACCAGAGCTCCCCTCTATGGGATACAGCAGTTTCCTTATCAGAAGGGTGGTCAATCGCATTGCACACTCTGATTTTTTTTTTTATTTTTAAAGTAACAGCTACTTAAATCTTTCCAGGCAAAATCACGACAACCCTTGTCTTAAATAGGTTTTGGTATGTGCCGCTGAGTCAACTACAACTAATATCCACTCTTCGAACAAGGGTCAGAACTTGGTCCTATCCTGAGCCAACCACACCTGACCCCAATGCCACCATCTCTGTGTCAATCCATCTTGTTCATGGGCTTCTTCTCTTCTAGGTATGACGTCTTTCTACAAGGGCTGGCCTATCCTTAAGTGGCAGGACAGTATTTTTATTAGTTATTATCTGGGCCTTGAAAGAAAACTGCCTGATTGCTAGTAAAACAACGATGTCAGTAACTTTTATAGTTTGTGCTTGTACGGCAAGAGAGGAATTACAAAGCCAAGCAACCCTGATGAGACAGGATTGAAATACTAGTCTCACAGTTACTTGAGACACTTCTGCTTGCAGATGGTACAAGTCTTATAATCACAATGAAACTATATCTGGTTTATATCTGAGGTTTTATAGATAGATACAAGGCAAAAGTCACATGACAAAGGCTGTCATGTAAAATACAGACCTCCCAGTGAATTTTGATGTTCAAATAAAATTCTTTTTTAGAATTAGTATGGTCCATGTAATATTTAAAATATATGGAAAAATCAGCTGTGATTTACCTGAAATCCAAATTTAACTTGAGATCTTGCTGTTTTGTTTTGTTTCTTTTCCAAACCTGGCTACTCTGCACAGGAAAATGTGCATGAGAGGTGAGAAAGAATGGATATCAGACATAAATCACTAGCAAAATGAGATGAGATTGTGAACTACCAGAGCATGGAAACCACTAGCTGGGAAAATGAGATTCCTTCTTTTGTAATATTTCTTTAGTCTGAAGTTATTTTTTAATGGATTAGCTGTATACTTGCTGTAAAGTACATTAAAGATAAGAACTAGCACCTGAGAATATAGTCACCTGGCTACTAAGAAGTAAACATAGTAAAGTGTTCTTGCAGGACAGTGAGGACACTTTCTACGCTCAAATTCTTAAATCCATCATGTTCAATAACAGCTACAATGGACAGGAAAGAATTCAGAAAAGTAAAAATATATATGTGTCATGGAATTTTCACTAAAGTATTCAAATCATTTAGGTAAAATTTCTTTTGCTAAGAATATCTAAGGGAATTTGATGTAATATTTTTTCTTTAAAAGATAAAATTGATGTTCCTTATACGGATTCCGTTCAAGCATTAAGAGCTTATCGAATACTTTCTATGTTTCGGGGCATGAGGATAGAGATGAGTGGGACTGAAGAAACAGGAGCAAGTCAAACACAAATAAAGCTTATTATTCTTATTAACCTACTTTGTAACCTGTTGGCCTGCTTCTTACGTTTAGTAAGACTGCTCATCTCTGACAGATCAAATCCACTAGCAGCTCCACAGGAGAAACACAGGCAGTCTCCTCCACAATATTTACAGCCTTAAAGCCAATAGAGAGGCTCTGTGAGTAGGAATTGAGTCAGTGGTAGTGAGTGATAGGTTTTTCCTACTAGTTTTAAATTGGATTTCTCCTCTCTCTCATATATACATGTTAGCATTTTATATATGAACTTAATATCAAGATATCAAGAATTAAAATAGTGCAAACACAGACCACTACTGATAAGCATCTCCAAAGATCTACTAGTATATACACAAATATTCAGTATTCCATTTCATAGATGCAAAAGACTTGAGGCTACCAGAGCTTCCTATAAATATAGTTGTTGTTGTTGTGTGCCTTCAGTTAGGAACCAACCCATAATTGACCCTTCAGCAGGTTTGATAGGCATTTAATCACATGGAAGGAGATTTCCCATCCTTCTCCTCATGGAGCAGTTCGTGGAGGCAAACCATGCACTTTTGGGATTGCAGCACAGCTTCTTACAGCTAGGCCACCATTTTGTTATTGTTATTGCTGTTGTTATGTGCCATTGAGTCCCTTGCTATTCATCACGACCCTCTGTACAATAGCCCTAAACCCTGCTCTATCCCTTTCCAGTCTTTTTTTTTTTTTTTGACACACGTACCTCCTTTACCCCAGTGATGGAATCAATCCAGCTCATCAATGGTCTTTCTTTTCTGCGCTGTCCCCCACTCTTCCAAGCATGACTTTCCTTTCAAAGTACTGACCCTGCCTTGCAACATGTCCACAATATGTCAGAAGGAGCTTCAGAATCCTTGCCTCCAAAGAGTAGCTTGGCTTCGCTCTCTCCAGGATGAGCTTGTTTGTTCTCCTAGCAGTCCATGGTATATTAAATACTCTTCTCCAGCACCAAAGCTCAAAGATATCAACTCTCTTTCTATCACCCCTAGTCACTGTCCAGCTCTTTGATGCATAGCAAGTAAGGGCAAAGACCATGGCCTGTATCAGGTGCACTTTAGTCTCCAGACTGACATCATTGCTCCTCAGAACCTTGGAGAGGTCTCTGAAAGCAGACTTTCCCAATCATCTTTTAATTTCCTGGCTGCTGGCACCAAGAGTGTTGATTGTAGAGCCAAGCAAACCGAAGATGTCAACAATCTCAATCTTTTCACCATCTGTCATGATGTTGCAAATCGGCCCAGTGGTGAGAGTCTTTGTTTTCTTGATGTTGAGCTTCAATCCATAATGAAGGCTGAATTCTTTGGCCCTCTGCAGCAAGTGCATCAGGTCCTCCTCAGTTTCAGCAAGCAGGGTTGTGTTATCTGCATAACGCCAATTGTTGATGAGTCTACCTCCAATCCTGATGCCACACTTCCCCTCATAGAGCCCAGCCTCCTGGATCTGTTCTGCATACAGATTAAAAATATATGGAGATAGGACACATCCTTGTTGCACATCCTTCCCAATTTTGAACCCTGCAGTGTTTCCTTGCTCTGTTCTGACGACTGCCTCCTGGTCCAAGTATAAGTTTCTCATAAGGACAATCAAGTGTTCTGGGATTCCCATTCTTCTCAGAGTCAGACACAGTTTGTTCCACACAGTCAGATGCCTTTGCATAGTCGATGAAACACAGACAAACATTCCTCTGGTACTCTCTGCTCTCAGCCAAAATCCATCTGACTTTAGTTTTAATATCCCTAGTGCCATGGCCTCTTCTAAATCAGCCTGCACTTCAGGCAGTTCTCTGTTGATGTGCTGTTCCAGTTGGTTTTGGATAATCTTCAGCAGAATCTTACTTGCATGTGATATCAATGATATGGTTCTATAATTTGCACACTCTGTCAGATTGCCTTTCTTTGGAATGCCAACAAATACAGATCTCTTTCAGTCAATAGGCCACGTGGTTGTCCTCCAGATTTCTTGAACAATGTGGTAACCACATCCAGGGAATCATTTGTTTGTTGCAATATGGCAATTGGCATGCCATCAATTTTGGGTGCCTTGGTGTGTTTTTTTGTTTGTTTGTTTGCCAATTCTTTCAGAGCAGCTTCAACTTCCTACTTAATCACTACAGGCTCTTGTTCATATGTTGTTTCATGAAATTCTCCTGTGTCCACCAATTCCTATTGGTACAATGACTCTGTATATTCTTTCCATCTTCTTTTAATGCTTCCTGGGTCATTTACTATTCTGCTCAAAGCACCCTTAAGTATTCCAACTTGAGACCACCATAGGGATCATATATTTGGAAAAACAAGCATTCATAAGTAAGGATATAGAAGCCCAAACAGACATATTTGTCTGAAATATCTTGAGAATACCCAGCCTAACTAAAAAAATTTTAAAAAAAAGTTTTCTGGAGAAACAGAAAAAGAAATCTTAATTACTGAAGCATGAAGTCATAAATATATATTTATATTTCAATACACCTTTCAATTAAAGATTCTTTGATAAATTAAAACTTGTACCTGTTGATTTGGCTTTGTAATATTTTTTGCTTCTCTTTTATAAAGTGGATGAAGTCTTCTGGGATAAACTACTTCATAAATCTTTATCCCTGGAACTTCTTTTATAGCACTTACTAAAAAAAAAAAATTAAAAAAAGAGGGGGAAACCAGTTAAGAAAATTTAGGCCATACTGAGTGAAATAGAGTGGTTAATAAAGGCCATCATTATGACCTACTCACACTCATTCATTGTTGTCAAGTTGAAAATGACTCATAGCTGAGCCTTCACTGGGTTTTCAAGGCTCTAAATTACATGGAAGGAGATTGCCTCTATTTTTCTCTTAGCTGATAGTAGATTCGAACCAAGGCACAGTCTTCGCTTTAGCGAGGGAACTCCCTGTACACTAGGCCATCACCAGAACTCCACCATCCTTGTGATATTTGTTTTAATGATACCACATAGCCAGAGTTATGTCAAAGGCTTATAAAAACACAGATACCATAAGAGTCTTCTCTTTCCCCCAAAAGTTTACTTTAACCTATAATCAAAATGAAAACCAAATCTACTATAATTGAGGATATTCAGACTCATGGTGGGTGACCCAACATCAAGTTTCTGTGGATGTAAATTTTTAATGAAGGATCATGTCTATATTTCCTACAGAGTAACTGGTTAACAAACCTATCTGTTAAGTCTATGCCTCCATGAACCTTTAACCTGTATCTTCAAATATTTACTCACTATGGGCTTACCCATTTTCTCTCTTATCTTGAATCTCTTGCCTAAAGAATCCACCCAGGGTCATGGCAAATAGTATAGAGCAAAAGCAAAGTAAAGTAAAAGAAGAACAGCTTGTTTAAGAATCTGGTCCAGCTTAGTATCATTGAATTGAAACTCTAAAGTGTTATAAAAAGGAAATAATGCATACTCTTTCTTTTTTTTTTTTTTCTTTTGTTGCTTTTGGTTTTGCCAGGGTTTTTTTTTTCCTTCCTGAAAGAAGGATACTAAAGCTCAGGAAAAAATAATTGGTAACAGGCCCATAGAATGATCTGGTATTATTGTCAATACAGATGAATCTTCCATGTGTGCACAAAATGTGTTTTAAAATGAACATTATTTTGTAGGTAAACAATTAGGACAGTATCACTGGTCTGGAACTTTTCCTAAGTCTGCAGTCACTTTGAGAGGAAACAAAGAGGTTAGTTAATCTTTACATCTGAATCTTGAATTCTCATCTCAGCATTGTTTTGAGTAGTTATTTAAGAGAGAATCAGAGATATTTTTTAAATGTTGCCTACATCTCGATGGCACTTAACAACAACAACAATACCAACACTAGATTTCCTATTTTTTTTATTTATTTGCACATATAATTTAGTTCTTGCTCTGCATAGGATAGTGCTAGGGAAAATGGAAAACTCATGTGTTTTTGTTTGCTGAAAGTGGCTTCATAAGGACCCAGCACGTAGACCAGACGAGAAGCCAGAAAACCAAGTGATGACTCAACCCAACAGCTTACTAACAAGATGACTTTGGATAGATTTTAGTTTTTTCTCTCAGCAATAATTGTTATGACCACTGAATCTGAACTGACTCATAGCTGACCTTTCAGCTGGCTTCTAGAGACAAAATATTTTACAGAAAATTGTCCCTCATTTTTGCAAATAGCAGCTAGTAGATTTGAACCACATGCCTTTCTGTTGGCAGCACATCTTCTTACCACTAAGCCACTACTCTGGCTGGTCTTTCAACAAATGTAACTGAGGAACTCAAGAGAGCCAAGTCAAGGAAGCTCAACAAACATTTATTGCCCTTCAATAGGAATGGCCTCATAGCTGACGCTCCAGTGGGTTTCCAAGGCTATGAATTCCACGGGTAGAGACTGACCATCTTTCTCCTGCAGACTCACTGGTGGATGTAAACTGGCAGAGAAACTCGGAGTTTGGATTAGCAGTGCAACTCCCTATGGACTAAGCCACAACAGCTCTCTAAGGCCAACTCAAGTAATCTCCAATTAAGAAAATAAATACAAAATTCCCCATAAGATCTTTGAAGGGATGACAATCATCTGAACATCTGAGGCACTGTCAGCCCAAAGGCACAGGGCTCTAATCCACCAGCTACTCCACTGGAGAAAAATGAGAAGTCAATTCCTGTGTGATTTACTGTCTCTGAGAACCCACTGGAGGGTCAGCAATGAGTCAGTTCTGACTCGATGGCACATAAATAGTTGCATAGACTATGAGTGTGTTTGCTGCTAAAACAAAAGTTGCATGTCTCCAATGGCTCAAATCCACCAGAGGCTCTAAAAGATGGGCAGACTGTTCTCATTTTCACAGAAGGTAGTCATAAGTCAGAACTAAGTCAACAGGACTGAGTCAGTTGTATTAAATAAATCTCATTACTGTATAGTTTTGCAGCAACATTTCATTCTAATATATATAATGTCACCATGATTCAGAGCCAAAACTGACAGCAACGAACAATAACAACAGTATAATCCCACCTCAAGTATTAAACTATTCAGTCCTTTTGATACTCACTTCTTGCTGTTATTGACAAAATTAATGGATATCATTAATTTCTACACAATCCATTTCTTGAGGAAAAAAGAGACAAGAATGACTTTTGTTTTTAAAATTAAAAATCCTCAAATAACTTCAAGTCTAGTGGTGCATTAAATAGATCATTTTTTCTATAAGTTAAAACTATTACAATCATTATCATTATTTCAAAATAGTAAGACAAGAGGTAAGAAAACTACTCTTGCCAAAATATACTGATGACATTGACACTATTCCCTACTGTCTACTTGAGTCTTCTGACACAAAACAAATACACTGTGGGGCCTCCACATGCTATCTGGCATATTGAAGCTACTAATCAGTCTAATCAGTGCAATTAGTTCCATAATTACTGAGTTCACGAACTCATGTATCTCACAGTACTACAGCCAGAGCAACTCTTTAAAAGATGTTTTTCTTTAAAAACAAAACAAAAAACACTGTTCTATTGGTGCATAATGTGATAATGTTGGCAAAAAAAATAATTTAAATAGTTTTCGGGCTGTACAAAATAACTCTCCAACTGATCCTTTTCAGAAAAGCTAAAGGTGATAATATAAATGTCCTACATTCCCAAGTAATGGGAAGGGAAGAGACTAATAAAGCTAATCCACTTTTTCTCTGATATATATACTGACTGCCAATCTTCTAGTTCATATTTTAATGCCAATATTTCAAAAATCAGAACTCTTCAAACGGCTCTGAAATACAGAGTCAAATTATAAAAACTAATTGAGAAAATTATTTTCTTCTCATTTTTTGACAATTGAGTACTCTTCAACTACAACAAAACTATAACTGAACAAAATATTTCTTTTTAAAGCATTGCCAAACTTTCTTGAGTCTGAACAGATTTCTTAGTTACTCTCAAAGTCTTGTAACACATTATATTATTTACAAAAACCACAGATAGCGTTTGCTTCACCCTCAGTTTTCCAAAGCTAAGAAGGTTCCTGAACGAATGAGATCTGGGATATAATGAATTGCAGAGCTAAGTATTGTTTAGCTTGTTCATCCTTAAGTTTACAGGCAGTTTATTCTCCTCCCAGCTGAATAACATCAGGTTAATTATTTTGAAGACTTCAGAATAAACACAGCTAACTGCCATCCAGGGATTACACAAATCCAAACTGAAACACAATATGTTTTCACGAATTCATTTTAGTACTTGCTTTCTCTCCCTCACAATCTACCACAGAACTCTTACAGTAGAATAATTTTGAACTACACAACTAGATCAAGAAAAAGAAGACTTTTTTAAATTTTGGTTTTGGTTAGATGATTATTTTTACTGTTTATAAATTTTGAAAAAGTCAAAACTCATCAACAAGATATTGATTCAGTTTGCCAATCTTTTTGTTTGTTTGGCAATTTTGTTGCTGTTGTTGTTTGGTTGGTTTTGTTTTTATTGTTTATTAAAATAACATTAAAATTGCATTTTATTGTTTATTAAAATGGACACATTTGTGTCCATTTTAGAGTTTAGAATATTGAAATATAATATGTTGTTACTGTTATTTAAGGTAGAATCGAAATTGACCCATAGTTGACCCTCCAGTGGGTTTTCAGAAGCAGTTAATTGCACTGGAAAAGATTGTCCATTTTTCTCCCACAAAGCAGATGGTCACCTCGAACCGCATCTCTTCAGGATTGTAGCACAGTTTCTAGACACTAGGCCACCAGAGCTCATATAGCCATTTTTATTTTTGTGTGAATATGTTAAAAATTGTGTAAAGCAATTCTTTTCCTCACTTGACGACATAACTTACAAGAGTTTTTGCAGTGACATGATTTAAGTTCTGTGATTCTCTACAAACCCTCCCAAATGCTCTTAAGATTTTAAACTTCATGAATCAAAAGTGAGTGCAAACATGAATGTGAAAACACATCCCAATTAAATCATTCTTATGGCTATTAATGTTATATTGCATTTGTTCTGTTGACTCTTGTAGTTATTTTTTTTTTGAAGGCAAGAAAGAAATGTTATATCTAAAGTATATCTTAAAAAATATATATTTTTAAAAAATTACAGTACTCGCTGAATAGTCTGAAATACAATGACGTTCTTTTATCTTTTAGTCAGTGTACTTACTTTACACCCAACTCTAACACTTCTTACATACGTTAAAAAAAGTGTGTATGTGTGTGTGTTTTCCTGTAATGAAACCCCATGGGTTACTTTTCTCAGAGCTCAGGGGATTGTAACACACATTATAAACAGCCAGTCTTACATGAGCTCTTTTTTTTTTTTTTCATTTGAAGTATATAGTTGAGCAAAAGTTATGATCAGACTGGCTGGCATATATTTATTGCTTTGGTAAAGAAAACAGAAACCCAAAAAGGAAGGGGTGGAAGGAAAACTTCTATATGTTTCACATTCTGGCAGGGAAATAAATCCAAATGTGAATGATAACAGTGGTATTTTCATACTGAAAAAGTCACCTTTGAAAATCCAACATTTGTGGAAAGAAAAGAGGTCAGCTTTCTCTCTGTTCCTCCCTGCTCACAAGAATGACTTCAGAGCCTCTGTTCTCACACTCAGCTACTCAGGGAGGTGTCCTTGGTAGGAGACCTTAGCACCATAATGCAATTACATAATCATAGGGACAGAAGTAGTTGTCTATTTCACTGAAAAAAAGAGTGTTCCATGGAGGAGACACCACTGTTAGACACGCAATTCGGCTAAGGGCAACCAGCTTACTATTTATGCTTTTGGGAAAAGATGACACACAATTTTTAACTAAAAGAAGGGTCTCTCTGAGTCTTCCTGATAGAATTTCTGGAATATTTCGAAAAATATGTCCAGAAAATTTAATTTTAAAAGATACTAAACTTTCACAAGTCTGCAATACAAATCAGGAACCAGGGGTAGAGGGGTGGGGATCAGGCTTTTGTGAGGAAATGGCTTTCTGGCAAGATGTATTCTTTTCCACCCTATTCTCAAGATTCCTGTCAGAATTCTAAAACCCAAGAAAAGTGAGAAGGATTCTCAATCCGTTCAGCAATTGTGCTGACATAAACAAACTTCAGAAATAGAAATAAGAAGAGGAAATGGGTTGTTCAATCTCATTTAACCCAAAGCTAATTCTGAGAATTTCTCAGAAATGAAGAGACTTCCTAGGCATGATTAGGAAGTAGTATTCCTGTACACTTGAATGCTTAATAATTGACATCAACAGCAAACTTCAAGTGCAGCTTAATTTAAATAGCAAGATCAGTTTTGGTTAACATCACAATGATTGGCCAACTATGCATACAATTAGACTCATTAATTATTACCAGTTATGAAGAAATTAAATATACAAAAAATGCTCAAGAAAGAGGTGATGGAACCAGCCAAACTGAATCAAATGACAGCAATATTTCAAGCAAATATTTCAAGAGACCCTTTTATATTCCTAAAAACAGTGGGATTAACTGGAACGTTACTGCTTTAAAAATAACAAAGTGAATTTTGACCAATTTCACTTTTTAATTAAAGATGGCATTAGTTGTTTTAATTATTACATATATAGAAAATATATATGCTTCCTTTTTATTGCTGTATTCGCTGAACAAACTTGTAAATACTAAAAATTGTGTTAGTTTATTCTGTACATTGAACATTAGCATCAATCACAATCCACAAACCAATAGATTTAAATCAGTCCCACCTGGTTAGCAACCTTGGTTTTAAAAGCCTAACCTGTGCTTCATACAAATCAAAGCATCTACAAACTCTCATTAGCCACTTGGAGAAACTGAAAAAGGAACAAGCAGCTCACTAATGTTATGCTCAACGAAATGTGCAAAGAAGCTAAAATACCCACCTGGAATTGGAGAAAAGAGGAAAGTGGTCATCAGAAGAAGCCCCTGCAGCATGCTAGGTGGTCCCAGGAGTGCAGAGCCCATCCCACTTGCTCAGGCAAACCTGTAGAGCTTGCTCTGCCCCAGCCTCTTCTCAAGTGAGGCAGCATGAAACTCTTTGGTTCATTCTGCCTCAGCTTTAAGGAAGTGATTATTAAAGGTGTTGCACAACCTTGAAGCTGTGGTCCTGCGACAAGGGCATAGCAGGCGGAAGTTCTGTCTGTCTTGTGGCTCTGAGATCACTTTACCATAAAATATTATTTTCCTCTTCCTCTTCTCCACATTCTTCACACAAAAGAAATAAATGTGAAATATTTTATTGTTGGCTGATAAACTCCAAAAAGGCAACTAATTTGATCTATCTTGTTAAATGTGACAGCTATACTACATAGACTGGCCAAGTAACATGTAGGCTTAAGTAGTTTCTTTAAAATATATACGCACATATGCAATTAAATACTTACACTTAAAACATTATGTGTGTGTGTGTGTGTGTGTGTGTGTGTGTGTAGTATATATTTGTTGTTATTAAGTGTCATTGAGTCGAGTATAACTCATGGTGACCCTATAAACAACAAATCTGAACTCTCTTATCCTGCATCATCCTTATTTTCAACCTATTTGAATCCATTGCCTGAGAAACAATCAATCCATTTTTTTTAGGATTTTACTTTTCTTTGCTGGCATCCCACCTTTTCAAGCATGTCGACTCTTTTTTATGGAGCGGCTTCTCAAAACAATATGTTTAAATTACATGAAAAGAAGCTTCATTACCTTTACCTTCAAGGACCCGTCTAGTTTCACTTTCTCCAAGACATATATGCTTGTTCTTTTGTCAGTCCCTGAGCTATTTAGTACTTTTCTCTAACACAATTCAAATGCATTGATAATTCTCCTGTCATTCTTACTCATTGTCCAGCTCTCAGATGCATAGAAGGGGATTGGAAAGACTATGGCCTGAATTAGTCATAACTTAGTATTTAAACTGACATTATTGCTCTACACCATGACTTTGGAGAAATCCTTGACTGAAGACTTTTCCATTGCAATACATATCATGATCTCCTGACTGCTGATACCAAGGGTATTGATTATGGATCTAAGCAAGATGAAATTGTTGACAATTTCAATCTTTGCTCCGTTTATCATGATACTGCCTATTGGTCCAGTTCTGAAAATTTTGCTTTCTTGATACTGAGATGTAATCCATATTGAAGTCTGTATTCTTGTATCTACTGAAGTAAGTGCTTCATGTCCTCCTCTCTTTCAGCAAGCAAGGTACACACACATGCAAACACACACTTAGGTTACCCTGTTGGTTAACTGGTAAGGAGCTGCACTGCCAACTCAAAGGCATGGCATTCCAATCCATCAGCAACTCCCCAGAACAAAAACAGGCAGTCTCCACCATACTATTTACAACTTCTAAAAACTGGAGGACAAGCTATGAGTCAGTTACTACTTGAAGTACATAAAAATAATACATACACTTCAAAAATTATACATATGCTTGTATATATATATGTATATATATATATGTATAGTATTGTTGTTATATGCCTTCGAGTTGACTATGACTCATAGTAACACTATGCAATATAGTTCTGAACCCTTCTCTTTCCTGAGCCAATCACACTATCTCTGATGCACCTACTTCCATTACCCCAGTTACTGGTCAGGCCATCTTATCTTAGGTCTTCCTTTCCTGTGCTGTCCCTCCACCCTTCCAAACATAATATCTTTCTCTAAGAAATGGCAGCTCATGGCAACATGTTCGTAGTATGTGAGATGGAGATTCAAAATCATTGCCCCCAAGCAGTAGCTTGGTTTCACCCTTTCTAGATTAGGCCTATTAGTTCTCATGGCAGTCCAACGCATGTTCAATACTCTTCTCCAACACTACAACTCAAATGCATCAATTCTTTTGTCATCTTTGGTATTTTCCAGCTCTCATACGTGTAGTGATTAATTGCAAAGACTGTGGCCTGGATCAAGTGCAACTTAGTCTCTAGAAGAACATCCTTGCTTTTCAGCACTCTGGAGAGGTCTCTGATAGCAGATTTTCCTAATGCAGTTCTTTTGATCCCCTGATTGCTGGTGCCAAGAGAATTGATTGTGGAATCAAGCAAGCCGAAATTGTTAACAATCTCAATCTCCTCTTCACCTATCACCATGCTACAAATTGGACGAGTGATGAGAATCTTCATTTTCTTGATGTCGAATTTCAGTCAATATTGAAGTGTTTGGTCTTTGACCCTCAGCAGCAAATATTTCAGTCCTTCCACAGCTTCAGCAAGCAATATTTTGTCATCTGTATAATGTGGTTTGTTGTTGAGTCTTCCTTCAATCCTAATGCCACATTCCTCCTCAAAAAGTCAAGCCTCTTGGTTGATCTGTTTTGCATACAGATTGAAATGGTATAGACACAAAATGCATCCCTGACACACTCCTTTCTTGAATTTGTACTGTGCAGTGTTTTCTCATTCTGACAACTGCCTCCTGGTCCAAGTATAGGTTTTGCATGAGCACAGTCAGGTCTGTGACTCCATTCTTCTCAAGGTTAGTCACTATTTGTTGTTATCTAAATTTGCATAGTCTATCATCCATCTATCTATCTATCCATCCATCTATCCGTCTACATATGTAGATATAGATATGTTGCTGTTGCTGATGCTATGTGCTGTCAAGTTGCTTTTGACTTATAGGGACCCTATGTACAGCAGTCCTAAACCCTGTTCTATCTCTTACCAAACTTAATGTCTCTGACACGACTATCCTCGTTAAGCCAGTGATAGAATCAATTCACCTCTTCGAGGGTCTTCCTCTCCTGCACTGTACCTCCACCCTCCCAAGCATGACATAAATCTCCAATGACTGATCTTGCCTTGCAACATGTCCAAAGTATGTCAGATGGAGCTTCAGAATCCTTGACTCCAAGGAGCAGCCTGGCTTCACCCTCTCCAGGATGAACTTGTTTGTTCTCCTAGCAGTCCTTGGTATATTCAATATTCTTCTCCAGCACCAAAGCTCAAAGGCATCAACTCTCCTTCTGTCATCGCTTGTCATTGTCCAGATCTCTGATGCATAGCAAGTAATGGCAAAGACCATAGCCTGTATCAGGTGCACCTTAGTATCCAGACTGGCATTGTTGCTCCTCAGTACCTTGGAGAGGTTTCTGACAGCAGACTTTCCCAATCGTCTTTTAATTTCCTGGCTGCTGGTACCGAAAGTGTTGATTGTAGAACCAAGCAAAATGAATATGTCAACAATCTCAATCTCTTCACCATCTGTCATGATGCTGCCAATCGGCCCAGTGGTGAGAATTTTTGTTTTCTTGATGTTGAGCTTCAACTCATATTTAAGACTACAATCCCTGAGTTTATGCAACGAGCACTTCAGGTGCAAATAGGGTTGTGTCATCAGCATAACTTAATAGATTGTTAATGAGTCTACCTCGAATCCTGATGCCACACTTCTCCTCATAGAGCCTAGCCTCCTGGATAATCTGGTCTGCATATGCATTGAAAAGATATGGTGGTAGGACACATCCTTGAAGCACACCTTTTCCAGTTTTGAACCATTCAATGTTTCCTTGCTGTGTTCTGACGACTGCCTCATTGTCCAAGAATCAGTTTCTCATAAGCACGATGAAGAGTTCTGGGATTCCCATTCTTCTCAGAGTCAGTCACAGTTTGTTGTGACCCACACAGTCAAATGCCTTTGCATAGTCAATGAAACCCAGATAGACATTGCTCTGGTACTCTCTGTTTTCAGCCAAGATCCATCTGACATTAGCTATAATATTCCTAGAGCCACAGCCTCTTCTAAATCCAGCCCGCACTTGAGGCAGTTCTTTGTTGATATGCTGTTCCAGTTAGTTTTGGATTATTTTCAGAAGACTCTTGCTTGAATGTGATATCAGTGATATAGACTATATGAATATTCATTTTCGTCAGGTTGGAACTAACTCATAAATGACCCTCTAGTGGGTTTTCGTAATCTGTGAATAGCACAAGAGGAGATTTTTTATCTTGTTCTGTGGGGTTACTAGTGGATTTAAACCATCAGAGAGACAGCACATTTAGATGAGCAGTACAGCTCCCTATGAACTATGCCAACAGGTCTCATATGAGTATACTTTGTTATATTTGCAGAAAGTGAGTGAAAATATACAACCTTTACATGTACATATGTTTTAGATGAACAATTTCTAATTTGATATAATTTTTGCATACGATTCTTTCCTGTACAGCTTGTGTTCCTTTTCCTGAGAAAGATTAGCCAACAGAACATGGAAATTATTAGAAAACACAATTAATATCACATGCAAGCAAAATATTGCTAAGATCATTTTTAAAAATGGCTAGAGCAGTACATAGAGAACTACTAGATATTCAAGCTGGGTTTAAAAGAATTCATGACATCAGTGATATCATTTCTTTTGTCAGTTGGATCCTGGCTGAGAGAAAATAATACCAGAAGAATGTAAATTTGTGATTTATTGACTATGAAAAGGCATTTGACTGTGTGAATCATAAAAACTAATGGCTAACATTAAAAAGATTAGGATTACCAGACCACTTAATTGTACTCATGTGAAAACTATACCTAGACCAAGAGGCTGTTGTGTAAACAGAGCAAAGAAACACTACATAGTTTAAAATTAAGAAAGATATTCATAAGGATTAAGACGATTGTATCCTCTCTTAATACCTATTTAATCTGTATGCTGAGAAAATATTTTGAGAAGATGGACTCTATGAAGAAGAATGTGACGTTAGATTTGGAAAAAGATTCATTAACAACATATGTTATAAAGGTGACAAAAATCTTGCTTGCTGAGAATGAAGAGGACTGAAATGCTTGCTGCAGAAGATCCAAGATTACAGCCTTCAATATGGAGTACACCTCAATGTCAATGACTTTATCTTACTTGAATCCACAATCTACACCCTTTGTGCCAGCAATCAGGAGATTGGAATTTATACTGTACCATCAAATCTGAAGTAAGACAC